TTAAATTTTCTCAAATTTACTGAGGCTTGTTTTGTGGCCTGAAATGTGATCTATCCTGGAGAATGTTCCTTGTGCGCTTGAAAAGAACGTGTATTCTGCTTTTGCATGAAGTGTTCTAAATATATCCATTAAGTGCATCTAGTCTGATATGTCATTTAAGGCTGATGTTTCCTTACGATTTTCTGTCTGGGTGACCTGTCCATTGACATAAGTGGGGTGTTAAAGTCCCCTACTATTATTGTGTTACTATTGATCTCTCTCTTTATGTCTGTTAGTATTTGCTTTATGTATTTTGGTGCTCCTATGTTGGTGCTTATATATATTACAATATCTTCTTCTTGGATTGATCCACAGTATAATGAGTAGTGGCCTTCTTTGTCTCTTGTAACAGTCTTTATATTAATGTTTATTTTGTTAGGTATGAGTATTGCCACTTCACCTTTCTTTGATTTCCATTTGCATGGAATACCTTTTCCATCTTTTCACTTTCAGTCTGTATGTCTTTAGATGTGAAGTGAGTCTTCTGTAGGCAGGATTTATTTGGGCCATGTTTTTGTATCCATTCAGCCACTCTGTCTTTTGATTAGAGCATTTAGTCTGTTTACATTTAAAGTAATTATTGATATGTATGTTCTTATTGCTATTTTGCTCATTGTTTTGGGGTTGTTTTTGTAGGTGTTTTTTGATCATTTTTTCTTCTTTTCTCTTCTCTTGTGATTTGATGACTGTCTTTAGTGTTGTATTTGGATTCCTTTTTTTGTATGTATTTATTATAGATTTTTGGCTTGTGGTTACCATTAAGTTTTGTGGTTTACCATTAAGTTTTTATATGATTGTTTTAAGTTGCTGTCATCTTAATTTCAAATGCATTTTAACAATCCTGCATTTGTATTCTCCTTTCCTCACAGTACTGTTTTTTGTTATCACGTTTTACCTCTAGTTGTTTTATGTGTCCCTTAACTTCTTATTGTGGATGTAGATGACTTCACTACTGTTGTCTTTTAACCTCCCTACTAGTTTTGTGTGTAGATGATTTCCTACCTTTACTGTATGTTTGCCTTTACCAATAAGCTTTTTCTTTTTGTATTTGTGGCCTTTTCTTTTTCATTAAGAGAAGTTCCTTTAACACCTCTTATAAAGCTGGTTTGATGGTTCTGAACTCTTTCAGCTTTTTCTTGTCTGTAAAGCCTTTGATCTCTCCAACAAATCTGAACAAGAGCCTTGTTGCATAGAGTATTTTTCATTGTAGGTTTTTTCCTTTCATCACTTAAAATACTTTGTGCCACTTCCTTCTGGCCTGTAGAGTTTCTGCTGAAAAAATTAGCTGATAGCCTTATGGGAGTCCTCTTGTATGTTATTTGTTGCTTTTCCTTTGCTGCTTTTAATATTCTCTTTGTCTTTAATTTTTGCCATTTTAATTACAATGTATTTTCATGTGTTCCTCTTTGGGTCAATCCTGTATAGGACTCTCTGTGCTTCCTGGATTTGGATACCTGTTTCCTTTCCCAGATTAGGGAAGTTTTCAGCTATTATGTCTTCAAATATAGTCTCAGCCCCTTTCTCTCTTCCTTCTGGGACCCCTATAATGAAAATATTAGTGCACTTGATGTTGTCTTAGAGGTCTCTTATATTGTCCACATTTCTTTTCATTCTTTTTTCTGTTCAGCATGTGATTTCCACTACTCTGTATTCCAGCTCACTGATCCATTTCTCTGTATCATTTGGTCTACAGTTGATTCCTTCTAGTGTATGTTTAATTTCAGTTACAGTATTCTTCATCTCTGTTTGCTTGTTCTTTATATTTTCTAATTCTTTGTTTACAAGTTTTAACTTCTCACTCTGTATCCATTCTTTTCGCAAGTTCTCTGACCATCTATACCATCACTACCGTAAACTCTTTCTTGGGTATTTGCCTCTCACTTCACATAGTTCTTCTAGGGTTTTATCTTGTTCTTTCATCTGGAACATGTTCCTCTGTTGCCACATTTTGCCTAAGTTGCTGAGGGTTTTTTGTGTGGGTTTTTTTTTTTTTTTGATGAATCTAGTAGGTTGATTATGTTTCCTGACCTTGGACAAGTAGCATTCTGTGGGAGACATCCTTTGTGTCCCAGCAGTGCCCTCCCCTCTCATCACCTGAGCTATATGCTCTAGGAGGTCCCCCTGTGAGTGCTGTGTGGGTCCTTCTATTGTGCTGGGCTAACTCTGTAGGCTGTCTAGGCTTGGTTGGCCCCTAGTCCAGTTGGTTGCCAAGCCCTGCCCTTTGCAGAGGCTGATGGCTGCTGGTTGGTGGGACCAGGTCTCAAGGCTGCTGACTGCAAAACCTCATGGGTCCTAGGGCTAGTGTTGGCTCATTGGTGGGTAGAATCAGGGTCTAGAATACTCCAAGGCTGTTACTCCCCCTCCTTGGTGGGCAAAGTCAAGTCCTGAGGTTAGTGCTGGTCTACTGGCGGGCAGAGCTGAGTCTTAGAGTCTGGTTGCTGGGCCCAAGAGTTCCAGAGCTGGTGCCAGATTGCTGGTGGGGAGGTGGGGCTGGTTCCCAACACAGTTGTGTAAAGGGTCCAGGATGTCCCAGAGCTTGTGTTAGCCTGCCAGTAGGCATGGCCAGGCCTGGGCCTGGGCCCAGCTGGTTGATCCTGTGTGGAACTGTGCACTTCCTGGACTTGGGTGACTGTTTCTTTTCCCAAGTTAGGGACATTTTTGGTTATGTTCTTTTCAAAAATTTTCTCAGGTCCCTTCTCTTTCTCTCCTCTTTCTGGGACCCCTGTGATTATTAGTGTCCCAGAGTTCTCTTAAACTATTATCATTTCTTTTCATTCTTTTTTCTTTTTTCTGAAGTAGTGATTTCCACTAATCTGTCTTCTAGTTCATTAATCCATTCTTCTGCCTCATTGAGTCTGTTCTTGGTTCTTTCTAGTGTGTTATTCATTTCAGTGATTTTTTTCTTCAACTCTGTTTGGGTATTCTTTATACTTTCCAACTCTTTGCTAAAAACTTTGCTTTGTGCATCTACACTCCTCTTGAGTTTTCTGAAAATCTTCGCTCTCATTACTCTAAACTCTTTCTTGGATAAATTGCCTATTTCCTCATCAGTTACTTCTTCTGGTATTTTATCTTGCCTCGGCCTGGAAGATATTCCTCTGCCACCTCATATTGTCTATCTTGCTATTTGTATTTTTAGGTTGGTTAGTTATGTTTCTCAACCTTGAAGAAGTGGCCCTCTGTGGGAGACGTCCTATGAGTTCTAGCAGTACACTCCTGTCACCCAAGGGCCAGCATCCAGCCGGTCCCAGGGTACAGTCTGACCTGTGTTTGTGGATTCCTTCCACAGGCTTTGGGATTGTTTTATTTCTGTTATCTGCCCCCTGGTGGATGAGGCTGGACTAGAGGCTTATGCAGGTTTCCTGGCAGGAGGAGTTGGTGCCTGCTCACTGCTGGGTGAAGCTTGGTCCTGGACATCTGGTGAATAGGGCTGTGTCTAGAGGCATTTGTGGCTCAGGAAGTCTGCTGATGGGTAGGACTGTGTCCCTATCCAGTAGGTTGTCTGGCCTGAGGCTTCCCAGCCCTTAATCCTACAGGCTGTTGGGTGGGTCTAGGTCTTGGTGCTACTGATCCAATCAAGATGGCAGCCTCCAGGAAAGCTCACGTAGATGAAGACTCCTGGCACTAGCTTTTATGTCCCCTCCTTCCTCAGGAGACCTTCCAAAACCAGCAGGTAGGTCTGGCCCAGGTTCCTATGAAATCACTGCCTCTGCCCTTGTACCTGGTGCACACGAGATTCTGTGTATGCTTCCCAAGAGAATGAAGTCTCTGTTTCCCCCAGTCCCATGAGGCTCTTGAAGTTAAGCTCCACAGGCCTTCAAAACCAGATGTCCTGGGGTCTCCTCCTCCCAGTAGTGGAACCCTGGGCTGGGGAGCCTAATGTGGAGCTCAGAACTCTCATTCCTGTGGGAGGGCCTCTGTGACTTAATTATTCTTCAGCTTGTGGGTTGCCCACCTGGGCGGGTATGGGTCCTGATTATATCATGAGCACGCTCCTCCTACCATCCCACTGTGGTTCCCCCTTTAAGCTTCCAGTTGAAGGAGATCTTTTTTGCGAAGCCCCGGTCTATTTTTTGATGGTTGGTTAGTGGTCAGTTGTGGTTCTGTCGTAGCCGTGAGAAGAGGCAAGATCATGGTCCTACTACTCCGCCATGTTGACTGGAAAATTGATAACATACCCTATAAAATGCCTTGAAAGTTTTCTCTTGACAAAATCTGTGTAAGCATGAGCTTGGTATAGATGGTCATTGAAAAGGAAACTCCATCAGTGCCAAAGATCTTGTGGGTGTTTTTTATTGAAAGGTCTTTTTCCTTCAATAGTGAACATTTTACATTAAAACTTTATACAACCAAAATCTCAAAATAATATTAAAATCACACTAAGGTATTTTCATTGTTAAGTCTCTACTTCATTTTATTATTGATAAAAATATTGCAAGACACTTGTAACTCTAATGTTTCTGCTTTAAAATAAGCAATTAAAACTAAACATCACAAGAAGAGACAATACATACTACAATTTGCTAATAACTGGCTAAAATGATAATAGTAATTAATGTTGTATAAGAAACAATTGCACTTGAAAAATTAAAAAAGTAAACATAAAAACTCTAGTTTTGTATATATAAGTCTTATGAACAGAGGTTAATCATCTGTAACCTTGCCAGAAATGTATATATGTTTAAAAAAAAAACTAAGCTTGCGTATTTAACATAGCAATCGTTCATGTTTTTTTAGTCTTGAATTTTTTATATGCTTTATAGAACTTCCCCCATAGTTTGTTGATCAGAAAAGACTGCAACACAGCTAAAGCAAAATAACACTTCATTGGTAAATAGTGCAAATTTGGAGTAATTTTTGCATGAAATATTAAACATGTAGCCTTTAGAAGTTTTTGGAAGTTAAGTGCTGTGACTGTCATTTCCTCAGTATACTCTTAAAGACTCTGATGGAAGTTTTTCAACTGAGGTATTTCTCCTTGTATGGGCTCAGTGGTAGGTAAGCCAGTACAGTTAACTTGTGTACCACTCTTTGTTAGTGATCTGATTTCTTCGCCTGTTTTCTACCATTACTGTGATACTAGTCAGAGCTGACAGGATGAAAGAAAAAGTCCATTCAGAATAATTAATGTAGCACTGTATTTCCAGGGCTCTAAGTGGAAAGATTCCTATTTATTAAAAGTGTTAGTGAAGAAATCATTGAAACTAACAAATGCCTATATATCTGGTTTAGAAATGAACATGAGTGTGGAAAACGTGCAGTGGAATATTAATTGCTTCTCATAGCCATAAAAAATTAAAGTTCCATTGAGTCTTAACAGTCTGAAGGACCACTATATATAGTATTAACTCCACCTTGCAAAAAGTACAACTGTCCGCTTCACCACACGTGCCAGCTGCTACCAGGAGGCTGAGCCATCGTTTCCAGAAAGAAAATGCCTTCTGTAAATAACTGCTGTCATCCTTTAAATAGTAGAATAACAGCACACTCTATTGAATAAGCATAAAGGAAAATGATACTAATAAAATGTATTTTTGTAGGAGAGGACAAAAGGATGTAATTCCTTCCCTTGTACTAGGCAGAGGATTTGTACTTAGATTTTGAAGTCAGAATCTAAGAAAAGGGGAAGATGCCCAACACCATGAAATGTAAGTTACTACTAACAACATGTGAGTCTGCTATATGTGTTTCATGTAAAGCAAATTTAGGGAACATAGAAGTGAATATATGTGGCTTTCAAGTTGCCAAGTCCCTTCTTTGTAGCACATGTGTATAAAACAAGGCCACTTAAAACTCAGATGTTTTTAAAGGTAGCAAGGTGAATGCTCTACATTATAAATGTTATTGAACATTTGACTTTAAATATGAGTTACTTGACTGTGGTAAAGAAACTTCCCACAGGAAATCCTTAGTACAAAGGTTTCAAATCTTATCTTACTGTTAACTTTCCCTAAAGACCTACAGAATTTTCAGAGACAGGTAATGTCAATAGCTTCTTGTGCCTTATAATAAATGGCTGGTTTGGGGGGGTTGTTTTATTATTTTTCCTTCTCATCTTTGCTGATTTGGATGAAGTGAGCCTCCCCTTCGGAGTTTTAAAAACTAGATTACACTAGAAGCAGTGTATCCTAAGGTTCTCAAACTTTCTGATATGTCAGAATTTATCTGAATAGTTTCTGCCAGAGTATATACATCTGGTCCCATCCTCACAGGATCTCTGATTGAGTAAGTCTGGGATGGAGCCTGGACATCTTAAGAACAACTACACTAGATGGGGGTGCTAGAGACAGAATTTGTAGCTTCCTTTTATTTTTATTTTTATTTTAATCACTTGAAATAAAAATATTCCCTAGGAGCCAGCTGGGCCACATGGTTAACATGTCCTTAAGGAGAGTTCTGGTCTAACAAGGCCTGCAGCTCAGCAGAGGGGTAGACGTGTGGTGGACTCACTCTCTATGTCACAGAGTCTGGCTGCGGACAAGTCATGAAAAGCGGACATGGGCACAGAGCCAGGAGCCAGACTTGTACTTGCAGTTTCCAGTTGCTTACTGCAGTCAGGAGAATGGGCATTCTTGTTTCTTTCTGTATATGACCCTTTCACTATTACTGGAAAAAGGTAGGAATCCCCAAAGATATGGTAAATGGTTTGGATAAAAGAAACTGGAGTAAAGAATTAAAAACCAGTACAGAGATTGGCATAAGCACCCGTTCTGAACGGTGTGTGGGTGTGCATGTGTAGAAGGGCCACAGAATGGGTACGGCAGGCTCTTGTGAGGAATTCTTAGTCTGGAGACTTTGCTTCGTGTGGTCCCTTGGACGGAATTTTTCTCTTCAGAACTAGGAGGAGCTCAAGGCACCAGGACCTAGGGTTGTGCAAATACACTTTTTACAAGGAACACCACCAGTTCAGTTTCTAAACATTATTTTAGAGCCTATAAAACATGCTGCTTTTCCCTAGCTTGGTTTCTTTACCTCATATAAAAAATAAATAAATAAAAAGGGCAAGAGAAGAGCCAGTAACTGGCAAAGGAAATGGATGAGTCATTCTTTACTTAATAATCTGTGGACAGTCGCTCCAGGCCTTGGCTTTCCTCTTGGCCAAAGCCAGCCAGGCTGGTTCTGTTGACAAGGGCGCAGCGTCTGGCGTAGAGAACCTCTTTGTGACTTCCTTCACCAGGGGCGCTGGGGGAGCCGAATCGGAGATCTCCACTAGATTGCATTTTGAGGGAAGAGCAGAAAGCAACAAGTCAGAGCCACGTTTAGATTTATCAAAGGATGAGAAGGGAAAACCCAGTGAAACACTGGGGCATCTTTGGGGAGCAGAATTAGGGAAAGAAAGCTATGGGATCATAACTATTTCATACAGAACTCCAGTGAGCACAGCGCAGTCAACTCTCATTTCTGAGAATTTCTAGAAACCTAATTTTTTCTGTGCACAGAAGCTATGCCTGCATGATAATAACAAGTAAAGGTAAGTTCTGTGACTCTAGTCACACAACCAGTCAGTTTCATGAGGCAAAAGATCAAACGAGCAGTCTGAACTTAGTAGTTGGTGAGTGAGGTCAAAAGTTACCTCCTCTACCAAGCGTACTCTGGGTGCCTCCACCCTCTGAGGCCCATGGATCTGCCAGCTCTTATGACTCAGTCTTTTCTACCAGTTCCTGCACATCCTATTCTATTTACTAGAACTTGGAGGCTTCATAAGCTGAGGGGTCCCATCTTACCCTTTCATACTTAGTGCCTGTGGCACAAACATGCAGAACTCAGGAAATATTGAAAAGACAGAAACTTCAGAAGGCTTGCTTTACTAAGGTGCAGCCACTCTGAACTGCATTAACCCTTCGGTGCTTCCAAGAAATCAGAGAAAGGTTGATTTCTTTGACTTTGGAGCTTTCACTATTCTGAAAGAATTTTGGGTCTTGACACACCCATATAATGAATGTTTAGAACCCTTAACTCCTGGGTGTAAGATCAAATGAAATAATGCCCATGGAGGGTCCTAAGAAACTGTACACTGCTTCAAAATACAAAGTTTTTTTTTTCCTCTTCACCAAATAGTAAATGTAGCTTTCATAGTGAAACGTCTTTACATTTCCAGACTTCAGCTAGTAGGTATCCAAGACATAAAAGAATCCTGGGTCTAGAGGTTCGGTGTGAGGACCAGGGCTGCCTAGCGGGGGAAACAGATGCCCTAATAACCTCTGGGAGGAAGCTCTCTCAGACTCTCCATCCTCCAAGGGATATGTAACGAGGAAATAGCTGTAGATGTTATGGGATCATTTTATCTCTTAACAGAATAAAGAAGTTTTTAAAATGTGCCTGTCTCTTATGTGGCATGAACCTATACACTGCTGTTGTTAATTAACATCAAGGACTTAGAGCAGAACAACCTTGCACTCCAAAGTCACACCTGGGTCAGCTGTCTGAAATCACATCAGTGAGAAGGGACCGCCCCACTTTTGCCTGGAGCATCGGAGCCACTTAAATCACCATGATTCAGAGAAGCAGCTTCTATTTCCACCAGAGCAGAGCTCCAGGTAGGGGTTTTCAGATACAGCTTCCGCACATTTATCTTAAGAAGGGAAACAGGCCCTTTTCCTGCTTTTCAGCTCAGAGTTGACGTCAGCTGCCTTGCTTTGAGCCTATCAAAGCACTGCTCCATTTAAATTTTACCTAAACTTCACCCTTTCCCCCAAATCCTAATATAAGATTAGAAGGTTCTTATGGTATTCAGTCTTCCTTGCTACAGGAAGTTAATAAAACTTTTTTGCTGAACTACAGGCAGTGGAGTTGGAGAAGGCTCGTATCACCTTGTTAAAAATTCAGGAATTTAATAAGCCACTTGATATTACATTGGTAACTTGAAATTAGCTATGGGGGGCCATATTTACACCACGGAAAATGACAAATAGTACAAATCAGAGGTCTCTCCGTTCCCCAAAGAGCTGACTGCTAAATGTTCATCATCACACCACTGACAGTGGAGGAGTTTCTGATCCTCTTTATCAGATGAGCTTTATCAGTGTCAGTGTTCATGAATGGGGTTGTGAGCCTGTGTTTTGAAATGCATGAAGTGCTAGTTATTACACTAGAGAAATAAAACACGCCCTAAAGAGAAAAACCTTAAAGTACAGTTAAATAGGAATGGACCTGCTCCCTTACCTGTCACAGATGTAGGGAGAGTGTTGGCCTTTTTCAGCTGTTCTCTGCGCTCAAGCCTGGACACTGCTGTCTCCGGCTTCTTTTCTTCTGGCTGAGCGGTGGACTTGTGCAGGGAACTGCCTCTGCTGACACTGCTGCTTCCCGGCTGCGGGCTGCCACTGACCTGGGTGGGCAGAGAAAGTCATGGAAAGCCTGTTTTCAACCCAAGGACAGGGAAAGACTGACTGTGCAAGGCCTTGGAGGCTTCCACCTGCCAGCCCCCATCCTCTGCTCCCAGAGGGAGAGCTGGACTGCGTGGGGGAGCAGCGTGCGCTCAACCCTGGCCCCAGCTGTGGAGCAGCTCAGTGCAAATGTCACAAAGAGGGGACACTATGTACTTTGTACTTTCCTAGAAGAGCCCCACTGGACTAGCTATACAATCAGGGCCACGAAGCAAGGCTCCTAATTTCCTCTCAACTCATTGCTCAAATAAAATCATTTTTATATTTCTTATATCAGGGTTGTGTGCATGGGTTCTGCTGAATATGGTTAACCTAGGAGCATCAGGAAATCAAATCAAATTTCTAATTGAAAATGCCTCCTTGGTTTAACAGTGGTCAACTTATTTATTGCTCTATTTTCTACGTATTCTCCACCACTCCCAGCTAGCCACCCCCACCCACCGACATTTAAAAAGAAATCCTGTGAACTCAGAGAGCCAAGCTCAGGAAGACACAGTTAAAGTTGAAGACCAGGCTACTCACGTTTTCTTTGGAGAGCTTTTCTGCCTGTTTGGCCTCCCTGGCTTGCTTCCTCTCCTCTCGAGTCGCTTGCTGCTCCCGAAATCCTTTCTGCTTTTGCAGCGCCAACGTTATCCACAGTGGCTGCGGGGTTTCAACTTTCTCCACAAGTTTGGAGCCATCTAGAGAGTGTCTGCTCTGAAGCACTGGCTTTTCTGTGGGGAAAAAGAGACTATGATATTGTGATACACAGCGAGAAATACATATTTGGCACAGAACTCCTAAAATCCTTGCAATTTCCTAAATGATGAGAGCATAAAGGTGTCTTTTGTTCTGTTAATGAGTGACTTTTGGAAAGCACCTCAAGATGGAGGCTGCCTGCCAGTGGAGCCAATCACCTGATTAGAGAGGGTTTAGAACTTTTAGTCCCACCTCTACCTCCGGGGAGGAGCGAGGTGCTGGAGTTTGAGTTCCATGAGCAGTTCTTGATGACTTAATTGATCATGACTATGTAATGAGGCCTCCATACAAAACCAGACTGGTTTGTAGAGCTGGGTTGGGAACACGTGGAAGTGCTGGGAGAGTGACTTGCTTGGAAAGCAAGGAAGCTCTAGGCCCCTTTCACATACTCTTCCCCGTGTACCTCTTTCACCTGGCTGTTTGAGTTATATCCTTTTATAATAAGTTGATAATCTAACAAGTAAAATGTTTCCCTGAGTTGTGTGAACTGCTCTAGTAAATTAACAGCCCGGATTTGTGACTGGCATCTAGATTAGATGCAGCCTGGTGGGACTGAGCCCTTAACCTGTGGGATCTGATGCTATCTCCAGGCAGAAAATGTCAGAACTAAATTGAATTGACACCAGCTGGTGTCAGAACTGCTTGGTGGTGTGAGAACCCAGCCGCCAATCCCTTTCAACATGCTGAAATTGAGATCATAATCAGTAAAGACAAAAGCAGGTGTGCACTGAAACCAACTGCTCACTCAGCTCAGTCCCTCACTTCTTAAAACTTGTGACATATTAATCAGCCCATGAAATAGTCAACTATCCCTTTCTAATGCACGCTGTACTGATGCCTGAGTGACTCCACTGGGTGGAAAAATAACATCTTCTATCAACAAAAAAAAAAACAAGCATTCGTCTTCCCTCAAAATGGAAGAAAAAATAGTCTTCAATGTCAAAACCCTCAGGCCTACAGAGGCAGTTATTTCATTAATTGTTGTTCTTTTTAAATTGCTTTTTAATTTTTTCAGTGGGACCTTCTTCCCTCCACCAAACAAGTGGAATACCAGTATTTCAAGGAGGAAAGCGGGGCACTGCTCTGCCTAGAGGGGCTGCCGAGGACAGCAGGACTCTAAGGAACACAGTGGGACATGGTCCAGGGCCTCTTTGGATAGATGTGAGTACTTGGGTCCACAGCCATCAAGAGCAGCGCCCGGAGTCACCCAGCAGTTAGTGTTGGGGCTCAAACCTGAATCTAGGACTTCGGACTCCCGGTCTGGGCTTTTCTCCTGGTGGGCTGTCCCGCCTGTGCAACTGGCGGCAACAGACTTCCCAGGCGGATGGGATCAGAGGTTGTAGTTGGCTCTGGAATTGAGCAGACCTGGGTTTGACCTCAGAAATGCTACTTCCCTAAGCTTTTGTGTTTTCTAATCCATACAATGGAGATGAGAATGTCGCATGCCTCATCAGGCTGCTGTGAAGATTAAAAGAGGTCCTGGGTAGAAGAACATTTAGAATAGTGCTTGGCATAAAGTGACCACTCCACAAAGGCAAGTGTTCTTGTTACTTATGTCTGTGAGACAATGATCCCTGACTAAAGGGATCCCAGGTGAAAATTACATACTTTCAGAGATAACTGTTCTGACACTGAATCCTTCACTGTCTCCAAGGGAAAGGGCTCGCTCTAAGTCTTGTTCTTTTGAAACCAAACAAAAATTTACACTTTGATGATACACCTGTTACCAACCAGGGCTCCAAGTTAACCGAACTTCATATTAAGAACCACCAAACCAGGAATTCAAGCACAAAAAAGGGAAGATTCCTCTTAATTTTCTACAACTTTAAGATCTATAATGCTGTACAAGGAGAATTCATATTTATAATGAGTCTTGGGCATTGCAATATTCCTAATCATCAAATAAAGATTTGGTTACGATCTAACAAAGGAAAGAAAAGCAACACATTTCACAAGTTTTTTTTAAAACTCAGACTGAAAGGAGTTTTTGATTAATCTTCAGTTAACCAGAAAATTAAAAATATTTACCACTTAAATCATTGTGCTTAACTGAGACACTTGACATACACCGGAACTAAATGAGTTTCTTTTTTCTTTTTTTTTTTTTCAACTCAAGGGCTGGGTAACACCTGTTTGTAAAATGTCTAAAACTCAAATTGCCCAGATCTGATTTCCACTTAAAGCAGTTATGTAAGAGGGAATCGCACTTGAACTTGCTTGGGAAGGTCCTTCAAGCAACGGGCCAGTTACCTGCCAACAACTTGGACTGGGTTTATCACAAAGGCCCAAATATCTTTAAAGCATAATTATTTACAGTTACAGTTAATTAAAATAACTTGAAAAGGTAAATCTCTAGCCAGGTTTTTATCTTCTTAGATCTGTAGCACATCCTGGAGTTACGGACCAGACTTTTAAAAAGGCTATAATGTAGTATGTGTAAAGGGCCTAACAGGTCTGGAAGTAGTTGGGGATCAATAAACAGAAAACAGGATGTTAAAATGGGACTCCTGTCTGAGTTTCAGCCGGGGAAGCCCCAGAACGTCAGTAACAAATAATCAATGGCACCAGCTCCCTCATTCTGAGCAGATGTGCTCAATCACCTACTCAGGTTAATCACCAAACAGCCACCTCAAGATCATAGAAATATCAGAGCTGAGGCAAAAGCAGCCAGAGAATTTCTTTTGAAAAGACTATTGGAGCGTGGTGTGTTCCCACATCCTCTCCCCTAGAGAGGGAAGGGGGCTAAGCCAAAGGAGAAGGTCCTCAATGAGACACTCAGACGAACTGATGGGTCTCCTGGAGTCTGTGGGGCAAACTGCACACCTGAGGTTCTATTCACACCTGGACAAGTTCAAAGGCAAGGACAGTGTCTGCCAGGGGCCTGGAAAAGAGGCCCTTGTGCTGAGACGACACTTGTTGAGTGCTGCATGAGGTTCAGGTGCGGGCCAAGTGGGTGGCGGAGAGAGGGGCAGGGCTGCCTGGAGGAGGCACCACTGAAATAAGGGAATTGCAGGAAGAGAAAGTGGCAGGTGAGGGGTCTGAGGAACATACAGAAGAATCAGCACTGTATCCCCCAAATGCAGCAAACTTCATTGCTTTACCCCTCCCTCTTCCTTCACCCCAGCTGTGGAGCCTGTTTCTGGGCTGGAAGGAAGGGCAGAAGTCGACTGTGTCTGCGTCCCCACTATAAGCATTTCAGCCCAAAGCACGCCAAATTACAAGGGAGATACTTAGTCTGAAATATAGCTTGGAGTTTTGATTATGACACTGGAGGCAACAGATTAATTACTAACATGAGAGAGTTATCACTAAAGGTGCCTAGAGGATTTTTTACTATTAAAAGGGACTGAAAAAATATAGAAAGAACTCCTAGAAATCAGCAACAACAAAACCCAATTAAAAAATGGACAAAGGGTTTAAATAGATGTTTCTCCTAAGACGACATATAAATGACCCACAGCATATGAAAAGGTGCTCATTAATCAAAACCACAATGAGCTATCACCTCACACCTGTTAGAATGTATATTATTAAAAAACAAACAAACAAACCCACAAATAGCAAGTGTTGGTGAGGATGTGGAGAAATTGGAACCCTTGAGTGACACTGGTAGGAATATAAAATGGTGCAGCCACTATGGAAAATAATCGAGTGGTTTCTCAAAAAATTAAAAATAGATTACCATATGATCCAGAAATTCCACTTCTGGGTTATTTTTCCAAAATAATTGGAAGTAAAATCTAAAAAAGATATTTGCATACTCATGTTCACAGCAGCATGATTCACAATGTCCAAGAGATGGAAGCAACCCAAATGTCCATCAATAGGCTTGAGAGGAACTCTGATGATACCATGGAAGCTAGTAACACAGACACTAGTGTCAAAACTAAACATGGGGGTTCCGGTTCAAGACGGTGACATCAGAGGATCCTGAACTCCCCTCCTTCCACAGACACACTAAATTTACAGCCACACACAGGACAATTCCTTCTAAAACAAATCCACAAACTAGATGAGTGACTCCTCCACATCAGGTGTACAGAAAAAACCCACAAGGAAATGGGTAGCCGACGCCGAGACACACACTCGCCATAAACCACATTCCTGGCACAGTGACCCACAGCCAGGAGGGTTTTGGAATCAGAAAAATTGGGGTTCATATCCTAGCTCTGCTACTTAGGAGCTGCTGTTTGATCTTAAGCAAGCTGCATAAACGTGGTTACCTTCGGTTTTCTCATCTGTGAGAATAAGAAAATAGCAGTTACCTTACTGAACTGTACTGAGGAGGTACACTGAGGTAATGAATGTCAAGCTCACGGCAGGCTGCTTGGTTTACAGTTAAGGCAGGCAGCACCTTCCTAGGGTAGACACCTACCGCTCCTAGGAATTGGTACAAACTTTTCAACGTAGTGAGAACCCTTTCATGATTGGCAGTGGTATTTCTCAGCACACCCCATCTCACTCTAAACTCTAGCAATGCTGAACTGTTTCAAGTTCTCCAGAAGGCACCATGCACTTTCTGGCTTCCAGATATTTGCCTGTAACATCCTTGCTTGTCTTCACTTGGCAAACCCCTACTTCTCTCTCATGTTATAGTTTAGACAGAGGTTCTTCCAGAAAGTATTCCCTGATCATTGCCCTCTCCCACACCTGGGATGAATAATATTTTTGTTTCATTTCACAGCCCCTGCACTTGGCTGAATTTCTGTTATCACACTGAATTGTAACTGTGTCTAGAAGAAGGTGCAAGAGCAGGTAACACTGTGTCATGTTACCTGTTGTATCTCCAGTGCCAGCCACCATTTCTGACTCCGAAGGGGCAAACAACAAACAAACAAGAAATAAAGTGTCACTATGCCCCGCTGTCTCCTTATTTAAAAAAAAAAAAAAAGAAGAAGAGAGAGAGAAGGCTTAAAGCTGCCCTTAAAAAACCTAAGGGGAGAATTTCTCTGAGAAATGTAACTTCCTGGGCTACAACCCACACCTGATCAATTTGCAAAACAGAAAAGAAAAAGTATCAGATGAATGTTCTCAGGGGCACCAAAGCCAATCTAAGTGATGGCCGAGCTGCCCCAAACACGCAGTATGAAGAAACACGAAGGGCACCCAGGAGTAAAGGTTGCCCTATCATGTCTTTATCGGAGGGCATCACGGTGGAAAGCTGATGTGTGGGGGATGCACAGGCAGAGTGTTGTGCATAAAAGTGAGACAAAGCTGATTATGCACACCTAGGTTCCCTGGGCAGATACAGCCATCAACAGCCCCCTAACTTCCCACCTCGGTGCAGCTACTGCCAAGAGACAGCACAGACACTGGTCTAGGGAACTCCAGTCTTTACGTAACTGCACAGACCCCTCATCAAGATTAATGACATCTGCATTGATCTGGACCACATTTCAACTTCCATCGTCAAGTGAAAGCGTATCATTCTGTGGCTACCTGTGTAAGGAAGGATCATTAATGGGAGTGGGCCACATAAGAGAGTCAGTCCACAGCTGTAAAGAGAAGTAAAGCTTTTCCCTATGACTCACAAGTGAGGGCCCTGGGAGAATGGCGCACCAGCCTCTAATGAAGGGAAGTGCTCCAACATCAGCTCTGTGGGCTACTCCCAGGCCTGGGCAGCTCTGGCTTTAGCTGTGACACAGACAACGGGCTGGATAGAAGCAGAATTTTGCAACCTACAGCTACGCACCTTTCCTCCCGGCTTCAGGGGTCAGAGAAGGCTTCTCTTGCCGGGCTGCAGTAGGAGCCAGGGAAGCTGGTCTCCTCTCTGTTTCCATCTCTTCCTCCTCATCCCACTTCTGTCGCTTCCTCTCCTCAGGGGGTGGGGGTGACAATGGCCGGGGGTCACGGCTGTCCTGGCCCTCCTTGCACGGCTCATTGGGCTCTGGGTCTGGCTTCCCGACCTGGCGAGCCAGCAGCTCTACCAAGTAGGGCCGGCTTACTTTGGAGAGCGGGGAGGACGGTGGGGTCTGACCTGTGGGCTTTGGAGCCAGGGCTGGCTTCTGGGCCAAGGGCATTCTGTTCGCTGCCTTGTCATGCTCTGGAGCTGGGGGCTGGCTGCTGCCTGGTGGGGGCCGGGGCTGGCCTGCAGGAGGGGAATGGCTGTAAGGGCTTTCAGTGAGGTCCTTCCAGGTGGATGGGGCTTGCTTCCTCTCCGGGGGGAAGGACGGGCCATGCCTGAGGGCCGCAGCCTCCCTCTCCTTCTCTTCATTTGTGCCCCCCGGGGCCGGGGGCGCCCCATCGATATTGTCCCCCGTGCTGCTGTGCCTTTTCTTCTTTTTTTGTTCTGTCTGCTGGTCACAGTGGAAGCGCAAGGAGTAGTTGGTCCTTCTCAATTTTATTCCAAAAGGGGAGGCTTTTTCCTCTCCACCTGGCATCACGGGGTCTGGCTTTCCTACACCACCTATGGTCTCACTGTCCGAAATGGTCACGGGCTCTGCCTGGGCCACTACTTTCTGCAGAGGGTAAGGAAGGCTTGGAACAAGGAAAGAGGGAAGGTCTTTGGCAAATTTGTACCCCTCTGTGGTGTCCGTTGGCTCCTGGCGCGCCCCCGGTTTCCCTGCAGGCTTCAGGGCCTCATGAGTGTCAGCAGCAGGGGGCTGAGGCGCTGCCTCTTCGCTGGGTCCCGGCACCAATCTTTTTCTAATGCTTTCCGCTTCTGTGTTCTGTTTGGAGGCCTCTGCGCCCACATCTGGGAATTTCTGCCAGGCAGGCTTAATGGAGAACTTCGCGTTTACCGGCGGGGTCCTCCGGAGGTTCCCGCGGGAATCACATCGGCCCCTGGGAAGGTGCTCATCACCGGGCCGGGCCTGGCCTCTCTCGCTGCGCTGATCACCCTCTGCGTTCTTCAGGATTCTGGACCGAATGGAAGCCCATTCAGCAAGTGCGGCCACACTGCTCGGAGATTCCTGCGGGGACCTGGCCTTCCCACCACCTGCCCGGGGGTCGCCGGGGGCTCGAGGTGGGTTCTCCAGAGCGGGGACATCCATGTGCTTCTTTTCTTCTGACAAGCCCAGGAGAGACTTGCAAGCTGTGTCCTTGATCTGGCTCAGGTTGACCGCTGGCCCACAGAGCTGTGCTCCCGTGACCAGAATGGCCGTGTGGGGTATGCTCAGGGAGGAGGCCAGGGCATGGGACGCCGGGCTGGCTTTGGGCGCTTTTGGCTCTTGGGGAGTGGAGGCGAGTCCCACATCTTTCATCGGCGTCACCGGGCTCAGATTGACTTTGGGGAAGAGAATTTGCTTCCCTCCTGACGACACCTGGAAAGTGTAGGGTCTGGGCATGGTCTGCCTCTCATCCACTTCCTGCCATCTGAGTTCCTCCACCTTTCTGTCTGTTTCTGGAGCAGAAGCTTCTTTCTTCTCCCGTGGTGCCAGCGTCTCTTCCACGCGTGCCTCTTGTTTCTGTGGAGGCTGTGCGTTGGTTTCTTTCTTTTCCTGATGTCCGCAACGATCATCCCCGGGAACATCGCTCTGCTTTCCCTGCTGCTCCCCAGATGGCTCGGCGGCCACTGGGCTCTGCTTCTCGCAAATACTTGGTTCCTCAGGGTTTTCTTCTGGCTTCTTGAGTTTCAGGTGTTCGTGTTCTTCTAGCTTCTCTGCAAAGTCGCTCTGAAATGGGCTCCTCAAGCCCCTTTTGTGGTCCAGCTGCGGCGGATGCTCCTCTTCCTCTCTCGGTGCTTCCCGAAGCTTCTTTTCCGCTTCCTGCCTCCTCTTTGCCTCAGTGTCCTCCCACTTCCTCAGCTCTTCCCTCCTCTTCGCCGCCTCCTCCTCCTCCCGCCGCCTCTGCAGCTCCAGTTCTTCCTGCCTTCTGAGCTCCTCCATTCGTTTTTCCTCTGCCTCCAGCCGCCTCTGCTCCTCCTCCTCCCGCCGCCTCTGCTCCTCCTCCTCCCACCGCCTTTGCTCCTCCTCCTCCCGCCGCCTCTGCTCCTCCTCCTCCCGCCGCCTCTGTTCTT